ATGTTTTATCAAATGAACGAGTTATAATTCCAAAACGTAACACATTTCACGTGAAGTTGTGCACCTACATCCGTGTCTGACCAGTATCGAGTCGACTGTAAATGTCAACAAAGGCACAGACAGGTGGCCGCGTACACTTGTACAGTAAGACATTCAATGATAAATATGACAAGTTACTTACAAGCCATTTTATGCACGTAGGTCTTGCCTTTAAAAATTCTATAGATTATTGAGCCTACTGCTATTTGAATCACAAAAATACATTTTACATACTTACCTACACTTAGAAAGTACAGTGTATTGAGAAATCGTCTGATGTACATGCCAATTGCACGTTTTTATGTGCTAGGTATGTGACACAATCAATAACTGTTTTATCAACCCATATGCTAACCAAACGATGTCTGCATTTTGGCTTTGGTTTGGATTGGTTATTGTGTATTATTTATGCACGGCCTAGCATTAGCAACGCGACTGTCTAGGTTTTTAAATATCTATGGAAATAGTTAAAAGAAGAATGTCTAGAACCCACTTGAAATATGTCATGCTATGGCAGACAGTCTGTGGCAACAGACAAATGCTGTTTAAGAAAATCCAAGCTAATATAATAAATGCGAAGTAGGTAACTCTGTCTGTCTGTCTGCCTTTTCTACACGCCTAAACTACTGAACCGATTTCTGTGAAATTTGGTACAGATATAGTTAAAACTTGAGAAAGGACATAAGATATTTTTATACAAAAAATCTGCAGGAACTTACTATTCCACGCGAACGCAATCGCGGGCAAAAGCTAGTACTGTACCTAATAAATAAGTTAATGAAATGCCTTACTTACTCGGTTTGCTTTTAGAGCTCAAGAAATTCACTAAATGTGTTATATGATGATGGTAAAGTTGAATACAATACTCAAGCTTTTCTTTATTATCGAAAAACTTGGTCGATTCAAAGCTGCACAACACAGGTGTATTTTTGAAATATCACTTTAGAATTTATTTTATTAAACTGCCAGTCTGACATTAACGAAGTGAAAACAAGTACTGATAAGTTATTGTGGCAGATAACCCTTTATTTATGCTGAGATAAGGCCAAAATCTGAACATGATGTCAATAAGTTTGTTTTGAATAAGATCAACAGTAATAAAAGTACAATTGCTGTTTTTTTTAAATATTTGGTATATTCTTAACTTTATACTATTTAATATGTAAATAGGATTGCTGTACAAAATATGCATATATTTTCCATCTGTGTGCCATCGAAAATTTTTAAAAAGATATTTGTGATAAGAAGTTAAACAGATCAAAATAAAGGTGCGCAGTTTTCACTATCTAGCTTAAAATAGTTTTTATTTTCTTTTGTGTTTCAAGATATTTCTGACGTAATAAGATTAGTCTTGAGATGAGAATCGAATACACGGTAGTCAAATAAAAGTAGGCAGATAGCCACGTTCAATATATCTTTCGACACTTTCGATAGCGCCTGGTTCTGTTTATATTCATAAGAGGTGATACATAATGACATCCAACTTAAAAATAGACAGGCAAGACGTATTTTTGATGAGTGACACCAAAAATATGTCGATGTTTTATAAGGCAATATTTATAATTAGTATGTAAGATGTTATATAGATTTTATTATAGTTAGTTATTTAGAGATTCAGACTACAATAAAGGTGAAGGTAGGTAAATAACATTGGCATACCTACTTCTATTTACCTTTATAGACAGATGTGATGTCATGTCACTATTAACAATTTTATTATATCTTTATTTTCATGTTAATTACTGTTTTACATATACACCTGGTGCTATACAATAACATACAAACAGATCTACATATGTAAGTAACCAAATAGAATACTGCATTAATGTTGTATTTAGGATTCGTAACGCAACACAGACACCTGGTCACAGCCAGTTATAATTGAAAACTGACTGACATCATCACTTGAGGTAAAATTTCATATAAACTAAAAATAAAACAAATATTATAAGTATATTTAGTGATTCTTATTGCCTTAAATGAATTATAACATTAAAAGAAAAATAGAAATTTCCATTTAAATCAAAAGATAATGGACTGAATTGGACAACCATGTAGTGATTGTTCTGCTTTCTAATAAAACATTTTTTTAAGTTATAGTTTTCAAGTAAAGCACAGGTTCAAGTATAGTAAAATGTCTGTACGAGCCTAAGTACTAAGTGTCGGATATAGAATATTTTATCTTTTACAAGCTTACATTTGTTTAATAGTTATAATACACATTGATATGTAAAAATAGATGTCCATATACAAAAACATGGCATTCATTGAAAGTTGTATAAGATTATAAATTAAGATTCAAGTAATAAAACATTTTAATACACCATTTATGGACTGTTAACTGTATGTACAATAATGATGTCCAATAAAGCATATATTATTAGAAGACAATAGCTTAGTTTAAAAACAGCTATTGTTTCACTTCAAAGGAAACTCATAAATGTATGTATACATGACAGTATCTAATAGTCTTAGAATTGGCATCATGTTTTCATAATAAACATAAATACTTTTGATTGCTTCCCAGCTCATAACAACTGTATTCATAATTGAGATTATTAAATTATATAACTCAATTTTAACAGAAAAATATTGTCCTCAGACCAAAAACTGTAAATAAGATTATTTAAAGTATACAAGTAGAACAACATAGAGCATTTATTAAACTACAAGTTTTTACTTTTATAAAAGTATTTTTAAATAAAATTTGTTTGTGAAGTATTACAATTCATTTCTTCTAGAATATACTGAGATTCAGAGAAAAATAAAGAAGAGAAGGCTTACATTAAGAATGAAAAACTAAATATTTATGGATGTAATTCCACTAAATAATTTAAATTTTAAATAAATAAGTACTTAAAATCATTTTCTTACGATGATTTATCAAGAATCACCCTCATGTGTCATCATCCACACAGTCCAAAATAATTATTTAACATTTCAAATACAAATTATATACTAAAAATTCAATTTCTTTTAGGAATTTCAAGTTCTTTTTATTATACATTTTACAGAATTTTTACATAAGCAAGTTACTAGGCCTAAGAACTTATTGAATAAACAGAAAATGTGAATCATTGAAAATGTTAATATTCATGTGGTTATTATATTATAGTACAAAACAAAAACCTCATAAAATTATAATAATGTAGTGCTGCTCTTGTATGTTTTATAGACAGATACACTCACCTGGTTTGTGGTGATTACAGTTACATACAGGTTCGCACGCCATTGATTGGGCTTAGTTAAATTTGAGATATAGTAACTTGATATATAATTTAGTACTCACATTATGGATTATTTTTCTCGTTGAAGCAGGAGCAAAAGGCCGGAATCGCAATTATACAGTCAGTTCATTTATTTATTATGACGCCGCAAGTCACAATAACAAATCAAGTCTTAGACAATGCACTATCGTGAGAGAACACAAATTATTATTAAAGGATTTTAAGCAATCAACAGTAATAAACCAAACAGATTTCCAATCAATACTAATCTTATCTTTAAAACTACACCGATACAATCAAGCAGTCCCTCCCGGGTGCAGTGTTTCATAAAACCAATCCAATGATAACACTTAAATTAAATTAAAGAAAATAGTGGTAATTATTTCAAATACTTCAAAGTTCATAGTGAGTTATTGTTATTATTTCATAAAGAAAATGTTAAAAGTTAAAAGACTACGGAGGCGTTTCACTGGTGCGCGCATCTGTCAACTTTTTCTGCGCTTCAAATCAAACTCGATCAAAACCAAAACATTGCTGGCAGAGCCATCTAGTGATACTACCTTAAAAATTAAATCTGTAATGAAATATGCCCGCAGCCCGCAGGATTCCGTCCGTTCACAGTTCAATTCAAGTACTGTGTAACCAACATTCACCTTACTATCTACTCGATTTAAAAAAAGCACACAATGTCATCTCCAACAACTCTTAAAAATGTTTTGACCTGCCTAATATGCATTCTATTCCTTGTATGAAACCTATAGATCCTTTTTAATGTCTCAATACTTCTAACGAACCGAAAGTTTTGTGTAAATCTCTAAATATACTTCACCGTTATTTTATTGTCTTAAAATTTAATAAGGAATTTAGACCAGTGGAATTTTTGAACGTGCTCAACTGCAAGTTAGGTTGCAATGATAAGACGATTTTGAAATTTTCATTACAATCAATTTGTAGGTATAGCAACGTTTATTTCATAATCAATATAAACTACATAGCTTCATGGATATATATATGTGAATTTAAAATGATTTAATATTATTAGAGACACTTCAAATCCTGGTCGACCACCTAGTTACCGAATAAAATGTCTGCGAAAATATATTTACTCTTAACGATTTTAGTAACTGTGTCTGTAAGTAAATAGAAGTTTCTAAATAACTTATCCCAAAATTAAACTTTTCAAGTTTTTAGAAGTAAAATCTAAGTCATCATTAAATTATTGTCTCTTTACAGGTGTTTTCAGTTACTTGCTATCCCACCTACAGCAACGATGTGGCCGTGGCACCACCATTTTTCCCACCAGGACCACCAGTAATAATTAAAGGCGACAATAATCGTAACAAAGACATTTTGTATCCGCTACTTTTATTGCTGCTGTTGGGAGATGGTGTAGGTTTTTAATCATTTTGATATCACTTATGTCTATGAGTAAAATATTGATGTTAATTTAAAATATGGTTTTTGAGCTACATTTTAAATTGCACTATGTTCTATTTCAATTCATTATTAAATCAATTTGCAATAAAATTCAGTATGAAAATATATATTGTCCGTTTTTTTTATGAAGTTTAATATTTATTTGAGAAAATATTCGACTAAAAAGTCGGATCAAAAACTAAATGTATTTCCCGTTCCATAGTAAGAATTACTTTCTTGAGCATGTTGGTTTTTGACAGCAGAGCAGCACTATTACAACTTTAGCAAGAGTAAAAGTGACAGCAAGTAATAGATGTCATGTAATTAAACTTTCTTTGAGAAATTGGAACAAAATCAAAAATGATGATGGACACATTACTTTTCGCAAAAGAAAGAAAATAATCATTCTGTTTAGTGTACAAATGAGTAAATATTATGGTTTGAAAACTAAGTTTCTGTCAGAACATATTAAAAAAATATCCAAAACTGTTAAAGACAGTCAAAATATGAAGTCGTTTTCTTATCTTCTTGATTAGATTAAAATCAAAATTGTTTCCACTTCAAGTTCCTATTTAATTAGATATCAATGAAAGTAATGAATTAGAAACGACCGTGTGTGCGAGATGTCTATTTCTACTTGTAGTGAAGAAGAGGATGTGTATCCACTCCACGAGTGTATATTCATTGGTGATGTTCGTAAACTCTCGTCGTTGCTAAGAAATCATGATGTGGCTCGAAAAGACAAACACGGCAATACAGCTCTGCACCTTGCCGTTATGCTCGGCCGCAAGGAATGCGTGCAGCTGCTACTGGCTCACGGCGCGCCAGTCAAAGTTAAAAACCTCGCAGGATGGTCGCCACTAGCTGAAGCAATCAGCTATGGCGACCGCCAAACTATTTCATCGCTAGTGCGCAAATTGAAGCAGCAAGCCCGAGAACAGATGGAACGTCGAAGACCTGACCTCATTAGAGCACTGGCACAAATTCAAGATTTTTACATGGAACTTAAGTGGGACTTTCACTCATGGGTTCCATTAGTCTCCAGAATATTACCATCAGATGTATGTAAAATTTATAAAGCTGGCTCAGGAATCAGATTGGATACCACACTGGTAGATTTCACTGATATGAAATGGGAAAGAGGAGACATATCTTTTATTTTTCAGGGAGAGAAACCGCCTAGTGAATCGCTTACTGTTTTAGATAACAAAGCTAAAGTGTACCAACGAGTGCGCTATGAAGAAACTGAAAATGAAATAGAAGATGAAGTAGATATCCTAATGTCAAGTGATATACTGGCTGCTCAAATGTCAACCAAAGGAATTGCATTTACAAGAGCACAGTCTGGTTGGATATTTCGAGAAGATCGTAAAGAAACTGTGGCTGGGTTGTACAGGAGTGATATTTATACCATCACAGGCCTTGTGTTGGAATCACGCAAACGAAGAGAACATTTGTCAACAGATGACCTACAGAAAAATAAGGCTATCATTGAGAGTCTTACTAAAGGAAATACACAAAATCTAGATACAAATGGGGAGCCCACACGCCGTGCATCACTGAACCCTCCACCAGAGAGCAATATAGATTGGGCTTCATACATATCATCTCCGCCTGGCCTCTATCCTAGCCTAGGCAGAGAGCTTGTCTACAAGGAGTCCTCCCGAAATTTCCGAGCTACTATAGCTATGAGTGATGATTTTCCTCTGAGTGTGGATATGCTGCTAAATGTGTTGGAAGTGATTGCACCCTTCAAGCATTTTGCCAAACTTCGTCAATTTGTTGCAATGAAACTGCCTAGAGGATTTCCTGTAAAAATTGATATACCTATTTTGCCCACAGTGACAGCTAAAATAACATTTCAAAAATTTGATTTTCGTGATGACATTGCACCTAATCTCTTTTTAATACCAGAGGACTTTGTAGAAGATCCACTGCGGTTTCCTGACTTATGACGCTTTGATATTCTAACACTGTTTGCAATTGATGAAAGGCCTAATTGGCGGCGTGATAGTACTATGCGGCGACGCCGTATAAAGCGAAAGCCACGATGTAAGTCATTGAGGAATAGCCTACTCACTATTGAATTTCCAATACTGATTGGTCTGGGTAGTTACTATTCCAGCCATTGTGTACTTTTCGTTGAATAGCAAAATTCAAAGTAGAAATGTTAAATTTGTGGTTAATTGTCTTGTGTATGTAGTATTTTTGGTCAACAGTGTTAGAATGAGAATTATGTAATGTTATTCCTTGTTTTTAGTTATTGATACAAATGGCTCATGTTTTGAATATTAAATTATAGATTGTTTCTAATTTATTTTTTACTTTTATATATTACAAAAACAATTTGGTAATTTCATTTTGAAACAGAAGATATATCACTAAATGATTTTTATTTTATTTGTATTGTAATTTGTTTGTTGTGGTTACTTTAAAAGTTTTATTTACATTTTTGTTCAAAATGTACCCTTTATCTTATGTAAATGATGCAAAGAGCACCTTAAATACTGGCCCTAAATTAGAAATATCTTTGCCTGGCCTCGGTATTAGCACATAATGTAGTCTGTGGCCTACACCTTTTGTAAGGAACACATTAGATCACTTAGGTACTAATTTAGCTGTAATAAAATTTGGAGCTCCTTTATAAGAGGTACCACATCTTATAGAAACAAGACAGTGCTCATTCATAGACTGGAGCTTGTGAAGTAGATTTTAAATTAGTTATGCCATATATATTTCATGAAGTAGGTCATCATTAATAATTATTATTCCTTTTATACAATACTTTCTAATACAATATAAATGTCTATATCTATCAATAGTTACTGAGGTTTGAGGCTAAGAAATTTCATTTAAACCTTGCCTATAACATATGGATGCACATAAGTATTTGTGTCAAAAAAATATACTATTAAATGAATTTGAACTGATTTTTTTACTAATACATAATACATTGATATATTATTTTTTTGAATTAATTTAGTCAAATTCCACAAGAATTACCTTAGTATCTACCATTTACCACAGGTGTTCCTTTGTAAATATCAAAATTAATGAATGTATATCATCATTTTAGATTTATTGAAGTTTGAAAGCACTAATTGTACTTATTTTACTGAATTTAGCACATACTTTAAAGTAGAAGACATGCTTTAGTAGTCGACTTGCGCAATAGGTTCCCTATAATATTTAGTATATGACAATAAATTGTAAACAATCCCACCAAATATAAGATTTTGTTTTAATGTATGAAAGAAAATTATTTCTTGCCAATAATGTTTGTTAACCCAAGATAAAGACATATTATGTATGTGACAAACTACCTGTAAAAAAGATTTATGAAAAAAAATGTTGTAATAAAATTTAAAGTAATATTTGTGGGTTTTTGTTCAGACACCTTACTTAACTCTTAAGCTTATCTATGCTTGAAACAAAGATCTTTAATTAAGTAATAAGTAATTTGCAGTGCGGTAATTTCCATGTACCTCATTGTTTTTTTTTACTAATTTCTAGTTCAATGGTTGTTTGTTTTTGGCGAATTTATTACCAACTGAAACCTAAAAATACGAGCAATAATAAATCAACCAATTGTTCCTAAGCTAGTTAAGTTACGCTATCACAGACAGCCGTGGCTTACGATGCGAGACGATTATATTAATAATAAGATACCTTTATTTGCTAACGCGAGACGCAATATCAGGTAACACAGGTCTAATGTAGTCGTAATACTTACTTACCCACTTAATAAAGTTATCTCAGTGACAGAATAAAACAAAAATCATAAAGAAAATACTGATTTATTTCATAATCACAATAATGAGAGCGCAGTTCAGTCATTTTATCAAGGAACCCAAATTTGTTTTAGTTGTCCACTTCATACATTTTTTGTCAAAATTAAAATTGTGGAGCATAATATTGTTTAATACTTAGGTGCGACAATCCGACCACCAATGTTAATCATCAGAAAATACGTTGAAATAAAAACAAAATACCAAAAACCACAACCAGATATAGAAACTATAAATTTTATTAATATATATAGTAAATATATTCTCATTTCACAATAATTATGTAGTTAATACTCAAAACACAATTAAATAACATTAGTACCAAGTGGGTTCATGCCGTTAGTAGGTAGGTATGAATCTTCATAAGGTTTTACCTGTGTTACCTACTTCAAAAGAGATTTCCGAGATGCAGGGCCACTGGTACTATCCACGTGAACCGATGAGTCCAGCGCCAAGCTGATAACTCGCAGGGATACGGTGGACCGACGAACTGGAAGTTAATGCTAGCATAAGTATGACACTGATAAATACTTATAAGTACCTAGTTAAAAATATTTTTTTTTTGTGTAAAACACTCCTAGCCCATTTACAAATATATCACAATTTATTTATAATTATAAAAATTATATTTATAATTATGAAACATGATTAAATCTATTTTGTATACAAGTACAAACATTATTTTATAAGTGAGTGGGGTAGAGGAGCGGACCGGTGTCCGCTTAGATAGAGTTTGAGCGATGTAAATTCAACTAGGTAATGACGTCACAAAGGACACTGGATTTCGCTTGGGGATGAGTAGATACGCTACGTACATGATTCCTTTATTGAAACCTTCAAATTAAAGTGAAAAACCTGATCAAAAACAACTAGATCGAAAACTAAAGGGCTCAATAAGATACCTGTATTAGGTAGGTAGATATATTGTAAACTGTTAGAAATCATTATAAATATCAATCACCTACACAAAAAATAATTTAATATATTTAAAAAACAAGTGTAAGTAGGTATAATATGTAAATACCTTCTTCAGCAATGTCAGCAACCAACTGAAATGGAAAAAAATAATAAACCAATTTTATTATTTCCATTTAAAAAAAGGTCCTCGATAGTGATGTAGTTATGGGCATTAATAACTGTATCTATTATATTATTTATAAATAAAGTAAACACTACTTAATTATGAAACAAAAATGTCTGAACCCAATAATATGACAATCAAGCATGTCATCCTAATTGCGTAGGTATAATTTATTCAGTTATCCCTTAGCTACAGATACCTATTTATTACATTTTAGCCATTCCATGATTGTCCTAAATAACGAGTCGTTGGTCCAAATTTTGTTAGGCTTCTGTCTGACTAACAGATAATGAGATTAAAATCGGACATTATGTACTTCGTTTTTATCAAGACATACACGCAGATACCACCCTTGTAATAGAATGAGGCTATCGAAAAACATCGAATTTGATAAAAACATAATGTAATTTAATTACTTCGAAACAAAGGGAAAGATGAAGATAGCATTTTTTTCTGTCTTTTTGAAAATACTCTATTAGAGGAAAGTGGATGGGGGCAGAATCTAGGCTACTTCGAAGATACGATGCCCTATATAGGTGCTTATGATATCCATCAGAGTAGGTTTAGTAAGAGTAAATACCCCACCGTCTTAGTCTTTCTCTCCAAAAGCCGAATTAATAATAAGTTATACATACCGCGTCTTCTTGAATTTTAGGTGCGAGCTGTCTCCGAAAGGCGCACAGTCTCCTAGTGTAGCCGCTGGCGACACTCACGCCGCTCTTAGATGATGATGACGAACTTGAGAACACAGATTCTGTAAATAGGAACTGGTGATGACTATCTTTTATTTACACTTTAGTCTTTAATGCACACATGATAAAGTAAGTACAAAGAATGCACACATTCTTTCCTAGTCAGCCTTAGGTTTTAGATTTAAGTGAGAATTTAGCGAAAGTAGGTTAATGTCAATTTTTATGTTTCAATGTGATAATGGAATTTATCAAAAAAGCTGCTAGCCGTCATTCCATCCATACTCTAAGCTGCATAGGTACTAGAACCAGAGGTAAGTACTAAGTAACTTTAATGGGTAGACACTTTAATTTACCTTCTACTTCTATGGTCGAATCCTTCTTGGTGATCGACTGTGTGTCTGCCACGATTCTGTAAAATAATGTGATACAAAACCTAAAATATAATTAAATATTGTTCCCTATTTTTGCATTAAACACTATTATTGAAAGTCTACATTAACGCACCTACTTGTGTATAACACTGGCAGCGCCCTAAGTGCGCAGTTTTTTTTAAATTCGTTTTGAAATATATTTAGATATCACATTTATATAGTTGGTTAGTTTCAATCTCATATTAGGTACTTACTTGTTACCTAATACAGGAAACATAGCATCGGGTTCCGCCCCCAAATTGAACACGATACATAATATAAAACATTATAATGTTAGAGCTAAAATTTTATCATATTACATTACAATGTGAATGTGCAAATTCTTGATTGCTGGAGTCAAATATCATAACAACATCTCCAAGTACGGAAAGACAGGGGTTGCGGGGTAAGCGCAATGAGTCACGGCGGCCTCGGTCCAGAGCAGGAGAAGAAACGGGGGGTTTTTAGTAAGTAAGACACTGACACTCCCTTCCGACTAATCCTAGGGCACTCCTGGGACTAGTCATTTACTGATTTTCCCTCAAAAAGTAGGTAGCGACAGGAACTTAATTTTACTTACAAATTAAGTTTCTGTCTTTGCGTACAAAAGTAGTAAGTAGAGAAATTTTATGAAAAATCTTTTTTTATAAAAATGTCTCTATTAACGACCTGCCCGGGCTTCGTACGTGTGCAATACTAATAATACATTTCTCCACTATTTAATGGATGTTATTATACATCTATACTCATATTATAAAGAGGTAAATTTTGTAAGTTTGTGTGTAGGGGGTAATCTTTGGAACCGCTGGTCGGATTGCCAAAATTCTTTCACCGATAGATAGCTACAATGTTCCTGAGTGCTATAGGCTATAAAACATCACGCTATTATTAAATGGAGCCGAGCAGCGGGTGAAACCACGCGAGAGTAGCTAGTAAATAAATAAGTATAACGAAACATCAGTCTTCAGGTACTTGTGAAAAAAAGAAAACCCTTTATATGTCGTGGCGTTTTGCTAACAAAACAAATGAGTGACGCTCAGGTTATCGAACACCTGTGCTAGTAGATATGTGTGCCTACCTAACTACATGAGAAGTAAAACCTATAAATAAATCAAGTCTCGTAGTCGTATTGACCCCTTTTTTCTTTTGTCAGGGTATCGCATGACTTCTCCCGCCCAGGGTAAGGCGAGAGAGTGTTAGACTATTACTGACTAAACCTCCCCCCCCCCCCCCGTTCCTTCTGCTGCTCAGGGCCGAAGCCGCAGTGACTCATTGCGCGATAGAAGATAATACGATGGTAGCATGATAGGTATTATTATTTGATGGTGAGCAATTAGAGCCATATCATTTTTATCCATAAAAAAACATTACAATCCTTCCCCTTCCCTAATCCCTCCCCAGTTCCTAAATCTCCAAATCCCTAATCCCTAAAAGGTCGGCAACGCACTCGTAACTCCTCCGTTGCGGGTGTCCATGGGCGGCGCTGATTGCTTACCATCAGGTAATACTTCTGCTCGTTTGCCGACCTATTACATAAAAAAAAAATTACACCAGAGAAGTCACAGGTGACTTGAGACGAGCATTAAAGAAGTTATAGTCTTTTTTTAAATATGGAGTATTAATAGGTAAGTTAGGGAGAGTCATGCTTCAGAACGAATGAGTCGGCTCGACCAGAATGATAACACGGCCTCACAGAAAACCGCCTGAAAGAACCCTAGCGTTGTGTTTCGCTGTGTAAGTGGAGGCCCAAACCTCCCCCTGCCCCAATCTCTTCCCATCCTAAAATCTCCAAATCCATAATCCTAATATGGTCGGCGATCCACTCGTAACTTCTCCGTTGTTGCGGGTGTCCATGAGCGGTGCTGATTGCTTTCCATCAGGTCAGTTCCGGCGTAAGGGCCACTGACACCAATATCAAGTGTTAGTTTTTTGCTGGTTGTACTACAAATAAAATAAAATGCTACTGACTTCTGTAGCAACAACTGCAGTCGTCGCATGTTCTTGGGCACGTGCTTTTGGAGGTCGGTGAGTACTACGAGCGCGGAGAAGCGCGCCGCTATCTCGGGGCAGCTGTTGGCCAGGTCGCAGAGTGACACCACGGCCGTGTACGCTGCCTCCGAGAAGTCACGGTTCCATAGCACCAACTACAGCGTACAATAGTTACTGAGGAAGACTCTAGAAGTTCTAAGTTACAACATGGCTCGACGCAGCGATGATGCGCAGCCGACTTAGCAGCGCGCTAGTGAACTACCCGCTGCGCGTTAGTATGTGGAAAAAAAGGGCTAATATGATCGGAGCCTATATAAACGCATTGTTTTTTTATACATTTCACATCATTATCACCACGACTTGTTACAGGAATAGGTAAAGGTCAACGTAGCTATTTACAGTGACAACAACTTTTCGCTGATAAGTGACGAGCTTCATCTAATGTGGTTACCCTCTTACCATATTTGCAACCATTCCAGACTCATTACTATTGATTGCTTTGTATACCGAATAAACAATGACATGTCTATGATCTAAGAGGCAGTGTCTGTTTCGTGATTTGGTCGCAAGCAGACTGTCTGCTTTGTTGTTAACAGAAAGTTCATAAATACACTGTGATCTCTATTCTTACATAACAATTATTATGTCTATTTGTGACGTTAGAAAGCTGAACATTAAAATAAAAATAGTGTATGACCTGGAAGAGCCTCCACTCGTCCATTCCCTCGACAAGTTTCATGGCTCGCTTGGCGTTAGCGTTGAGTATGTCGCGCGCATGCTGCAGATGCACCTGCTGGCGCTCCATGCGGTCGCGAGCCGTCTCCAACTCCTGTTCCGTCTCAACTCTACAAACAAAGTCTCAAAGTTTATTTACTTTTTAAGGGTATTTTTTGCCACCCTTATGCATGTAGGTATACCAGATAATTGCATCTGGCTGATATTTCATACATTTGAGTTTAATCAGATTATATTGGCTATCTAAAGTACCTATGTCAAACGATCCATTTTTAATAATGAGAATAATTATGGACTTCAATCATTGGATACTAAAGTTGGAGATACTATTCGTACGTGGTAACAATGTACTAAGTATGAATATAATATACAACAATATGAGATTTTATTGAATAAAATGACTCGTAAAAGAGTCAATTTTTAACAAGATTACATCTGATTTGATTTAATAGGAGAACACACTGAAGGAAGAAGAAAGAAAATAGAAAACGACTGGCGAACAAGACTGCTGCCAGTATTAATTAATTGTCTAGGACACATCCAAGAGTACTAGAATGATATACCTATGTAGGTACACCTATTTACATAGGTACATAGATATTTTTGTAGCACGAACTACGAGGCTGCACTACTTTAGATTGTGTGAAGGACGTAAACAATACAATACAGGTCAATTTACGAGGCTTGATAAGCATTTGTTTCGTTGCGAACAGTCCTGCCAGATAAGATTATGGACGTTTGTGTTAACTGGAAAACTGTAAGATGATAAACGGAGAACAGGATATTATGATGTGACCGGCTGATAATCACAATAACATTTTCTATGGGGCTATATCATAAGTCAAAATATGGTTAAGATTCAGGTACCCTTCTTGTAGGTGGAAACGCATCAAATAAGCCTCCTGCCCCGTGTGAAAAGGGACTGACTAAAAGCCACCTCGACCTAACTTCTTTTCAATCATCATCATCATCAGCCTTTAAGGCCCACTGCTAAACAAAGGCCTGTTCTGACACAGAGAAGATTTGAGCATTAATCCCCGCGCTTGCTCAAGGCGGATGGCTGCTCGAACCCCTCGCTTCAGTATCTACTTTAGGCCCGTAAGCTCGTCATATTAAATCTGCGCATAGAGTGTAGGAACAAGGAAACACGTACTTCTTATTTTCCAGCTGTTTGCTCTTGTCTATCGCAGTGGTCAGTCGTGATTCAGCATCACGAACGTACTGATCGAGGCGCTCGACGTTCGCCTGCAGAGACTGATGCTCATTTCGAAGCTGGAAGAACTGATTCCGCAAGTCATTCAGCTCTGCCATTTCAGGTGCTAGGAATAAGAAAATATGTGAAATATAATACTTAAATAAAAATATATAAAGGTAAACAATTTTGCCTAATTTGACTGCCGATAGATTACAGTTGAGGGCAAATCCTACGCTAGCGTTGCCCACATAATTGTACCCGGTGTTGTTGAGTCATTACTTTATAAGAGTCAGATATTATTTGTTAGTTGATATAAAAAAAGTCCAGAATCACCATAACCAAAAAACGTACCGTTAATAAATAATAAATATGGATTAAAGTAATTGTATAAGCTTTTAATAGCTACTAATAATATAAATAAAATAATACATCAACTATTCTTGAACTATTGGCAAAACTAAAAATAACACCAAATATAAAAGTGAAGTAAAGAGTACATACACATATTTATTCTCTCCATTATGTCCTAATCATGTTTTTATACTGTAACATTCAATATCATTTATTACTTCAGCCGATAAATGCATCCTGATGCTGAAGAAACAGATTAGTCATTTCTCCTTTTGTCGTGAATCATGTTCATCTACATAATGACAAGACAATATTGTTTAACAATGTCTAATTTTTTTTCATCTTTCACTATCGATCGAATAATTTCGTTATCTTGAATAGAAAAACGAATCTGATGTAGTAAACATGACATGAATGTGTAATACTTACTAAATATTATCAGTTTATTTTCAAGGAATACTGAGGGGACGGCGCGTACGCAGTCCCCACTACCAAAAATTACGCGTCCGAGTTATCCACATTAGGGATAATCGCAGGGGTCAACCTAACCGCAGTGCAATGGAAAGGCCTCGCCCTGGGGGAACCGCCTTCTTGATCACGGTATCCCCTACGCCAGGTAAGTATGCTTTGGCAACAGCGGCGCGCGAGGGTCATTCAACGCCGGAGAATCTTAACACCGCGATTCAGAAAAATGACGTCACGGCACAGTGACATCTATTGTTACACTATGAGAAACGGTTTAGAAAGCGTGATCATATATAATTGGCTTTAGGTAGTGTTATTTAATTAATATTTACACAATGACATAATTAATAAACAATACTATTTAAAAAACTTTTTTAACAATTTTAAGTAAGCTTCTAAGTTAACATTTTTAATTCCAACAACGGCATCTATCAACTGAATTTTGCATCATTGGTAGGAATTTTCTACCAATTGGTAGAACTAATGGGTAGGAAAGCTCCCGCCATATTTTAAATACCGTGTTTGATCTTTGTCATCTTAGTTTTTGGAACAAAGAATATAATGAAAAAGAGAAATGAGGTGCAAATAAAGATTAATGTAAATTGGACAGGAATATTACTGTTTCAAAAGGGAACATGCATGTTAATAAGTAATTGGGTAAACAAATTATATTTATAAACGTGAATTTAGTTATTATTTTCCCAACCTGACACTTTTACGCCACTTTTAAATAATTGCATACACTTTAATACTGATGACTACTCAAATTTTACAGTTTGCTAATTTGTAGTGTAGCTTTTCAGGCAGGTACCACCAACAATGAGGCATATACCTTAGTAGTGGATTAGGGGTACTAATGACAGTCGCTGTTCATAAAATACTGATAGGATGAAAAGGGATTCAAAACGTTTTTAAAGATTGTTAAAGGCACGTTTTTTGGTTTTTATATTAGATTAATTACTTATTTATCTAATATTAACTAGAGAAATACCAAAAATTTGTATAAAATTAAATTAATCTAAAAAACTATAGTTAATTCCATAGTTAGAGACAACGATTTGACATTTCGAGTGTTGCATGTTTTTTCAATTCATAAATAGTGGTGGCTTGCCCGCGACTGGTGTTAGCCGAAAGACCGGTATTAACGAAAGTCATTTGTAAAACTATTAACTATCAGCATTGATAGAATGATTTTACTAGTAACTTTGGTCAGCTTTTGCATTCCCTCTCAGCAATTTGACTGATAGAATGACAAAAATAATTTAAGCCTAAAAATATTATAAAAATAATGTCTGTCAGTCAGATTGTACTATTTTTCTTCAAGTAAAAAAATTACTTCCTGACTGTCGAAAAGTCAGCCCTTAGACAAGTCTTACAGAAACCTAAAGTTATGACCCCTAAAAAAGAAACAGGGAATAAAGTATTATTTATTTCGATTAAGACGCGATTATGATGAATCAATTTTTTTCCGACTTTTCAAATACAAAAGAGTCAGAGTAGAATGATTAATCGGAATCACTAACAACTTCTAAGTATAATAAAACTTTCTATGATATTTTCTCTTATTTGACCAAAACGGCACATCTCATCTTCCACTTAAATGGCGTGCTAGATACAATCATGCCAACGCTGAGGTGTCACTTCACGAAGTCCTTCATGAATTAAATTCTGGACTTCGTGCATTTAAAAAGTTTTATTATTTGTAGCTATGTGCCCCATTATCTGTGCCCACACTAACTCAATCGGGTTAAACTCACAATGGTTTTTTTTTTTTTTTTTTTTTGTGAGGGGAAAATCATCAAATGACTTCTCCCGCCCAGGGCCGGGCAGGAGGGAGTGTCAGACTCTTACTGACTAAAAACCCCCCTGTTCCTTCTCCTGCTCTGTGCCGAGGTCGCGGTACCTCATTGCGCTTACCCCGCAACCCCGGCTGAACATCAGCCCTTTAGGGCCCCGTCTGTGGTGGTCTATTGGCTCTTTGAGGCGCGCGCGGAACGCTACGCGCCGTACGCTCGGGCCTGGTTCTGGTCGGGCGGCGAGCTGCCCTTACTCGCCGACCGCAGGCCCGTACTTACGGTGGCCGGAGATCGTCCCTCGATCCCCGACGCCCGTAGTGTCGCCAGTTGCGGCTGCTGGGGCGTGAGGAGGAGGATTGCTCCCTCACGCGCGCCGCCTCTCTCTTTGCGAGCATGACTGCTTCACAAAAGGAGGAGACGGCGTCCCAGTTCCTCTCACTCCGCACCATGGCCTCGACTAAGGCCGGGCGCGAGAGGTCGCCGCCGCCGATCACTTCCCTGAGGATACGGCGGTGCTCAGCCCAGGCAGGGCATACCGCTACCGTATGCTCCACCGTATCCTCTAGGTGGTCCTCACAATGACGACACTCGGGCAAACTCACAATGGTAAGAAGGCAATAGTGACCCCCCTTTTAACAGCCATCAGCCATCTCGTCTAAGACATATCGTTCATAAATTACTCTTCTCTTTCCGGGCAATCTCCAACAGTTCGGGTTTCAGCATAGATTCCTCAAATAACTTTAATGTTTTTTCTTTTAGCCAGTCTTGGATTTTGCCCTTTCGCCAAGTGGAACTCGGTAGGAGGGAATAGAAACTTTTCTAGAAGGGTATGGAGCGTTGTCAATTACTAGCACCGAGTTTTCGTTTAATTGGGAAAATACATTTCAACCACTCTTCATATTGCTCCAAATTCATTCCTTTGTGATAACGATTAACTTAAAAAAAATCGGCAAAACATTAAATTATGTTGTTATGGACTGGTGAATATGATAACTATGGAAATACTATGGCCCCTGCCCTTTTTTTTTATGTAATAGGTCGGGCAAACGAGCATACGGATTACCTGATGGTAAGCAATCAGCGCCGCCCATGGACACTCGCAACGGAGGAGTTACGAGTGCGTTGCCGACCTTTTAGGGATTAGGGATTTGGAAATTTAGGGATTGAGGAGGGATTGGGGGAGGGGAAGGATTAGGCCTCCGGCCTCTCTTGACCAATATTGACACATACGGATAAACAGGCAGGGGGTGACTGGCAAACTCAATTAATGGGCCCCCGGAAACCGCCGCTAGCATGTAGCGACAAGGGGGCAACATGCGTTGAGCTGCTTGGGGAAGGAGAGGCATCCCACTCTTGCGAATCTCCAAGCCAGCCAATTAAGGCAAAATTGAGGTGGGAGGGCTTGTTCTTCATCAGTGTTCACTCCAGAGTCCAGCTCGTCACGAGGACTAACCGGAGGGTCGCAACTGCCCAACAGCTCGCCACAAGCCTATGCCTTGCTGATTTATTATTTAAATTATTGTTATTAATTCGACTAAAATATAAAAAACATCACCGCAACGTTGTTTTATTTTATTCAGGGTAATTTTTAAAAAAAATACGGTATCGGTATTTAAAAAAAATCGTAGCTACTCGGGCCCATCACTATGTAAAAAATCTGGCCACAATATTTTGTAGTTTGACATTTGCAGTTGTCAAATTGTTGTCTCTAATTATGGAACGAACTATAGAGTAGGTACTCTTTTGTTCGCCTGCTACTACTATTTTGAGAACTAAGTCAACATATGTAGGTGTCAGTACATGGTTTTGATTGTATGTATGTAAACAGACCGACAAACTTTTATATACATAGGATAGCAAACATAAAAATTGTTAAAAATGTCTTCGAAACACCTGCTTTGAGCAAACGCTTCAATCGCTGCTCGGCCCCTATAGACCTATGCGTGATGTTTATAGTCTATTACACTCAGGAACATTATAGCTATCTATCGGTGAAATAATTTCCGGAAATCCGACAGGACAGGAGAAGGACATAGGATAGAGTAGGTAGAGTAGGGTAGGTAGAGTAGGGTAGGTAGAGTAGTGTAGGTAGAGTAGGTTAGGTAGAGTAGGGTCGGTAGAGTAGGGTAGGTAGAGTAGGGTAGGTAGAGTAGGTTAGGTAGAGTAGGGTCGGTAGAGTAGGGTAGGGTAGGTAGGGTAGGTAGAGTAGGGTAGGTAGACAAATGACGGGGGCGACGCCGCGGGTAAGAGCTAGTAATAAATATAAGGCAGTACGTACAGTCGTCGCTGAGGGGCGAGATGTGGCGCATGAAGTGTTGGTGCGCGGCGGCGACGACCCGCAGCGTGGCCTCCAGCGCCGACACGTCGCGCTCGCTGCGCGCTATGTCCGCGTCCAGCGCCGCGCCGCGCTCGCGGAGCTCCGCGCGCTCCGCCGCAAACTAATACCGAATTGCAGCTTACAATTACTATCTACCTAACCAATAGCCAGCTTCATCTAGTTTTTGACTACAAATTGACGTGTAAAAATACCGTTTTATGGCCTATTTGCAAAAATAAATTCATTGTTTCAATATTACTGCTACAGAAAATATGATCTATCAGTTTAGGTAATTAACTTGCCTTTTAATCTAAAAGCTGTGTAAAAAATATATGTAAAAATTAATTGATGTTATCTAATAAACTCTTTGCATCTATTTTATATGAACAGATATCAAGATTGTTTACCTTTAGTTAACCACTTAAACTGATAGACCTTAAATACTCATCATAAATAATCAATAATTCTCCTCAAACTAAATAATGCCATGTACCACATAGACCATCCATCAAAAACTTTAGATTTTTGCATCTGGATGCAACTAAGCAAAAATGAATGCTGTATAAAAATCTAGGTAACTTAGCAGTGAATTAGCACTGAACTATAAACATTACAGAAGGATGGAACAAAAATCAAATGCTTACCTTAATCTTGAAATAGGTAACGGAAAGTTGCTGTCCAGATTCATCTTTACCCAAAGAGTCCACAAATATAGTGTATCTGCAAGAAATATGTTCTTAGATTGTAAGTTTCAGTAAACATTTAGCTTTACCATAAAAAAACTAGTGTACATTTACTACACAAATCAGAAGCGGGGTATTCCTATATCAACAAAGCACGAATAATTAGGTACGCAGGTATTGGAGCTTTACCAGGGGGAGAGAGGGATTTATTTGAGGCTATGTGTGAGAGAAGTAAGTATGACTAGGTGCGAGTGTATGGGTGTATCCTTGTGATTGAATCATTACTAATTACAAGACTGGTAGGGTATCGTGAGTAGAGACTCCGTGAGTGAGTCGTCTTTCAGTACAAGTCATTTAGTTCTTTGATATTGAGAAGATAAAGTACCTTACTTTTATTTGACTAGTATTTTTTATACATTTGTATACTCAACATGTAGATAATATTAGTGCCGAGAAAACCGGTCGGGACACTAAGATTAGAGTAGGTACCGACTTGATAGTGTAGCAATTGATGACAGTGAAATAAATTTGTATAAACCAATCTAAAGCATAATTGATCCTGTTTACTTCTTAGGGATAAGGCAAGTAATCAATAATTGGGACAATATGAAGAGATGATCTTACGAACCTCTTAATAAGCTGATCGATACGTTGTTGCCGCTCCCGTATCTCAATGCGTAGCTTGCCGCATTCGTCGAGCAGCGCACGTTTCTGCACGTTGAACATCTCACGACGTGCCTTGATCTCCACTAGACGCTCGTTCATCGCCTGCAGGTTCAAAAACGTATACACTCCACTGTTGTAAAATTCATGGAAAACCACGGAAGATAATAATAACTCACAAACTGTTCTTCTTTTGTATAAAACAAAGGCCGAAGGTATGCGATTTTATTCTTCTTCAGATTAATCTATATTTGTTATTTTTCTACGCAGATTAAAAGAAAACAAAATAATACGCTTCTGAATTTACCTATATGTACTTGTGAATTCAGAAGCGTATTATTTATCACTTAACTTGTTGAAAACGGACGGATAAGGCAAGGATAGAACTGACAAGCATTGAGAATAAGTGGGCAAATCCAGAAATCGTCGTTTCCTGATTGGAATGACGATAGTGAGGAGATTATTAAGGTAGTGAGGTAGATACATACGGCATCGATATGCAGTCGCTGCTCGTCGAGGTTGAAGGCGGTGTCGTCGAGGCCGGCGAGGGCGCGGCTGGCGTGGGCCACGCGCAGGCGCATGAGGGCCTCCTCCACGCGCGCGCGCCGCCACGCCTCCCGCGCCCACTGCAGCTCCTTCTCGCCGCCCTCCACGTTCAACATGGATGTCTTCAGACGACTTTGCTGTAACATTAACATAAACATTCATTTGCTAATGTACTAGTGCCAGCGGATTCCATACTATTTTCATCAAAAACCATTCAGTAGTTTTCCCATGAAAGAGTGAAAAACATCATACATACTATTATTCATTTTCATACTTATGATATAAGCAAGATGTACTTCTGCATAATATCTTTGTAAACCTTTGTTTAAAAGAACGCACATAAAGTTGAGCATTTTGTAATTGACTATCAGGAGATAATTATATCGAAACCAACTCAAAAATCCGTAACTTTTCCACTTCAAACATAATAAATCCTGGATGATCAGATACAATATGAGGGGAAAACGGGCAAAAGTCACAACAAAACTATAGTGAACTTTAATCCTCATCTCCAATCATTTTTGTTTAACTTCAAAGTTACCATAAGCGAAATAACGTCACCTGAAAACGTTTTTATAGCATAGCACTTGTATAAACATAAAAGGATGTAGAGTGTGTGAAAAGACGTACAAGTTTGGTATGCTCAGCGGATTTGCTCTCGACCTCCCTGGCCAGGCGACGCATGTCGTCGTGCAGCTTGGCAGAGTGACGCTCTAAGAGGGACACACGCGCAGCGTGGCGAGCGTATACATTCTTCATTCTGAAAATAGGTACCACATACATTCATAAAACTTACACGTAAAGAAAGTATGACACTACTAAATTTAATTAAAATTAAATCTAATTTGAAATAAGGTTTTATGGATGAAAAGAGTTTGATTACCGGATCCTTCCCCTCGACCGATCGACGATCCTAAATCCTCAAATCCCCCATCCTTAATAAATACTAAATGACCCGCAACAAACCGCAACGCACTTGTATTAAACCCTTTGGTTTTGCGAGTGCCCATGGATTACTTAATATCAGGTAATCCAGTAGGCTGCGCGACGTCGCCGCGTCCGCGCAAGCTGCTCATGAGGAAGAACCCCTCTGTGGTTCGAAACTAGTAGAGCTTTTCTCAATATATACACGTGAGTAACCCGCGATTTTTAGTTAATCAGGTAATCCATCAGCTAATTTGCTGTATGCCAACGTGTACAATAAATAAACACTAATTTTAAGTCTTTTTTTGATCGGTCTGATTTGTTGCTAAAATCCAATTTTTGTAACATGCATTCGCATCGCATTACTAATATCAAAATAATACTAATATGCCTTCATCTATATGTATCTGGTTACCTATTTTCCCTCTCTACAAGTACCGCTGAGCAATCCCGCTCAGCCTGCGCCCCTTCCATGTGAGACACGCGTGCGCCGATAGTTTCCACTTGGTAGCACTGGAATGCAATTTAATAACAACTCATTGTAAACTGCAAAGAGTAGAAATCCTAATGAAATAGTGAAAAGGTTCAATTACATAATTGAGTATTTTTTTCACTCACACGATCATACACATCGTGCACTTTCGTTGTCTCTCATCAATCTTCTGTAAGGCTTAGTAACATAAGCATCCACACAAAGCATCTCTCTCCAAGACATTAAAATCGATCCTTGCTAGACCAATCTAAGTACAACTTACTATACTTAGAACTACTATATAAAACCCGGTAACAACTGGACTTAAACTATATTAACAGTAGATAAGTACTTACAACATTGTAAAGAGCTTCCTTTTGTGACTGCAGCAGTCGCTGTATGCCACGGTTCTTTGTTTCTAACTTACTGCAGACTGCCTTAGACGCTGTGAAACACACATTATATATACATTTATTAAATTATTGCAATTAAATTCTATTTGCCGATTCCCAGAAAAGGAATAGGTAGATGCCAGAAGATATTCATCATCATCATCATTGACTGCACGGTTGGCGAATTGACGATTCCCGCACGGAATAACACTTTGTGTGATCCACAAATTGTTGTTTCGAACCTAGATGGCTTGTGTATGTGAATTTGTGTTTCTAAACACACCCGGGCAAAGTTTTATTTAAAATAAAAATTAATCATTATCATCATCGTTTTTAGCCCACTTGCATTACTCGCACACTCGCACCCTCACACTTGCACTTGCATTACTAGACTAGTCTATCCAAAAATTCCACTGAGTTAAATCCAATTGGAAAGGGCTAAAGGTCGTCGCCAATTCAACAAACCAATCAAAAGATCTATGTTATATGCTAGGCGGGACTGTAAAATATTATTCTTATATACGCACATTTAAGTTGCATAAAAAATAGTTTCTCTTCATTCTGAAGGGCGAGAAGCTTCTGTTGTTCGACGAAGGAACAATGCATAGCGCGCTGTTGGTTCGTTGTGATCTGATTTGCGTAGCGTTCCTCGTCCTAAACAATATTTTCTATTTTAATATTATACTTTTTATTTTAATAATATTAAACTTTTCGTATAAGGGTCAAACGAGCAGGCGGGTCGATATGGGAGGCGCCGGACCTCGGTGTTGTTATTGTCCTGTAGGTCCCGACTTAGAGGAGTTGCAGCGGTTCCAGGAGGTTGCGGAGAGGGCTTGGTTTAAAAAGGACAGATCCCCCCCATAATTAGGAGTCAGCGTCAGACCATACTGACTGACTGACTGCATGGTTGCAGTTACTGGGCAACTGGCTGAACAAGTCTATGAATGATCCACAAATTGTTGTTCGGGTCTGGATGTGATGTACTTGTGACTTTCTAAGTTTGTAAACACACCCATGACACAGAAGAAATCCCGTGTGTTTGTTTTTTAAAAGGATTAGTAATCTTTACAACTTCACTAGGTAGTAGTTTTCTTTTTGGAATTCCACATGAAAAAGTAATTGTTACCAGTTAACACATAGTGTGCATATTTAAAGAAAAAATATGTCTACCTACCTGTGTAGTTTGCGTATGTATTTAAGTATGTATATGAATGCTTTTTTATTATTATTTTAAACATAAAGACCAAAAACGTTCTTACATTCAGTATATCTTCAAGCTCTTTAGCTCTCTTCTCTGATGATTTTGTTTTATCCATGGACTCTACCATTTTGTCTTTCAGCTCTTTGATCTGAAATATTGGAAATCGTATTTTAAAATATAAATACTTTTAAACGAGAAATTCTATACAGATTTTTCGGTAATTTCAATAATATTTTGCGCTACAAATCGTCAACAACAAACTTATATCAATAAATTAGGCTATATGTTGTACCTTATTTTCGGTCGCCTTGAGGGCCATGTCCTTGCGGCACTGCTCATTTGTTATATTTCTGTTCTCAGCATGAAGCTTCTCTAGACTGTTACGCATGTTACTCAATTCACGCTGAAGACTTTTAGCCTGTAATATACCAATATTTACTGTAAACAATAGTTCTTGGGAATGGCCAAACAAAAAATAATACTACCTAATGTAAAAACACCACACTAAAGTAATTAATAGGTAAATAAATTGTTGTTGGCTGCCAATCAAGAGTTGAGAATACGGCAATACCTTTAGCAGAGGAAGCTCGTAGATTGATATTGGATACTCAGAGACTGTTGATGTATGTTTTTTTTATGTCGTCGGTCGGCAAACGAACAGTCTGATTACCTGGTAGTCAGGTTCGATGGACACCAGTAACACCAAAGGAGTAAGGAGTGCATTGCCGGCCTTCTAGGATTAGGATTCTGGAGATTTAGGGATTGGGAAGCTATTGGGGAAGGGGCAGGATTGGACTCCGGTAACCTCACTCTGTATTTTCTGTGAGGTATTACTCCGGTCGAGTCGACCCATTCATGTAGGTATGAATGGCGCAGCATAAAATTATTTGAAAGCAATAAAAACTTGCAAAGCGACATATGTAAGCATTTCTAAGCTGTAACTTGACAAAGTACTGAGCTCTAAGTTAAATATGCGTGTAGGTATTAATGCTACTCCTGATGTAGGTAGTTTGTATTAACATTTTTTATGGGTCAGATTAGCAAACGAATACACGGATGGTACGGAATCGGCATCATCATCGCAACAACGAGAGATTTTCGAGTGCTGATTGGGGAGGAATTGGGAGAGGGGTAGGACTGGATCTCCGGTAATCTGTCTCACACGAGGAAACACAACGCTATGGTTGTTTCACAGCCAGTTTTCTGTAAAGCCGTAGTAGGTATCACTTCGGTCGACCCATTCGTGCCGAAGCATGGCTCTCCCACACTTAGCAAGTTCCAGCTTGTGTCGCTGGAGCAAGCCTAATTATGTACCGTTACACCTCCTCACATCAGGTAAAGGAATGGGTTGGTTTTTAGTCAGAAAGTAAGTAAGCAGTAACACTCATTAACACCTTGGTTGGGTGAAGATAATATTATGGTGTAGGTACCCGCTCAAAAAAACAATCTTTAAAGAAGTTGAGCATTTGAGTACCTACTACAGCTTAACTTAAGCTTATAATTAATTATTAAGTTTATATACCCACCTCACTATCAAGCGTGGCATTGATATCCGTGAGCTGTTGGCAAGCAATGCGTATCTGGCTGAGTTGCGTGGCGAGCGCCATGTTCTCCAGGGTGGCGTCGTTGTTGTTACCACGTTGCTGGTCACAGAACGCTTGCTGTTCACGGCATTGCTCCGCCAAGTTGTTCGCTTCAGTCTCCAGTGCTGCATAATCCTGTAAATTATAATTACGTGTTCCTATTTTAAATGTTGCTAACAAACTGAAAGTTAAAGATTGCACTTATGGATAATCAGAGAATGTAACACTCAAATTTCGTCAGTTGTTACAAATTTCGATGTTAAACAATGATTGCAAAACACTTATAGTAGGTAAAGTAGGCACTATGTTTCCTAGGATGCGAGACTTTCATAAAAACAAGGGACAGTCTTTTAAAAATGAATACTAGTATTTAAGTTTAAAGTGTAGGTAATATTTGTACTTGAATAAAATTATACACCAATATTTTTAACGTTTCCTACGTTTAATAGGTTTAAGACACTTCTGACTACTAACCTCTCGAATGTGTCGAATATCCTTGTCACGTTGCCTCAAGTTTTCGACGGCTGCAGTCCACATTGACATCATTTGTTTCCGCTCCTCCATACCTTCTATTACCTGTTTACAATCATCACGATATAAAATAGGCAAGACTTCACTAGGTACCCAAGACCTGGAGCAACACAACAAAACCCCTTTGGAAAGGAGTCAGGTAAAGTAGAAATGTTTAATGACTAAATATAATTATACACTCCAATACCTGTACGGATATCCTATCACAAGCGCGTTCTTCAGCACTTAGGTTGGAGACCAGCTGTACCAGCCGTTCATGCATGCGATCATGTTCTAGTTTCAACTTCTGTCTCTTTGTCTCCAGAGCCTGTAAATGATAAACCATGTTTCCATGATATTAAAATGAATAAACTAACTCTTCTTCACTTGATTATTTGTAGTAGTTATTGTCCAGGACTTACAGACAGACTACTTGAAAAAAGTTTACATAAAAATATTTATAGATTGTATGTAAAAAGTTTTTATTTTAAATGAAAGGCAAAACACTTTAACCTAATACAAACCTTGCACCTCCAGAAATCAAGATATTTATTGGTAAATATGTTATTTAATATTCCATTGTTTTTTCATTATTTTTCACTTATATGTTGACTAATAGCATACCTAAGGTCAATTTTACAAAAAAAAAAAACAAACCAAAAATCTACAACCTAATTTTTTTGTAAACTTTAAGTGGAAAACCACAATTTACCTTTGCTTTAGAAATATCCTGTTTAGTGAACTGCTCAATGGCTGTAATGTCACAGGCATATCTCTCTAGAGCTGCTCGCCACTCTGCCAGAGCTCCTCGTTCGCCACATACCTCCGCCTTCATAGAATCAGCCTTTTTCAAGTATTTAGTAATCAGGTCTGAAATAACATGTTTCATATTTTGTTAATACAGGCTAGTCATTAAACTACATAAATACATACATATCATATTGTGTAAGAGTTAATGTTATATTTTAATGCTCTAATGAATATTTCTATTTTATTAAGGGATGCAATATTAAATCAGAGTTTACTTTGAAGCCTATCAATCCTAGTCTGGATATCCTTGCTCTGCTTGTTACAGTCCAGCACATCTCTGTCCAGTCTGTCTGCCTCATTGGTACACAACTGCCGCAGTTTCACCTCTTGCTCCATCTGCTGCTTATGTGCAAATAGTAAGCGCTGGAAATATCAAACAAAATATTTTAAAAAATATCTAAATTTTGGAGTTGTAATAAATAGGTTCTTTGTCGCTTCTGAAACAACAATAGACATACCCCGGCTTTGCATGAGTGCAATGGTGATACTAATTATTTATTTTATACTTATCTTTTAGTTACAATTTTTTATACTTAGTTATATTTTGTTAATGTACATAGAAATCTTCCTCTTCAATCACTCTAGCATCATAATCCATTCTGTAGTTTTAAAGATTGAAGCATACATACATAGGGGTATTGGAAAGGAGACTATAATTATGTAGTGATAATCATCAATGATTAAATAAATTTAGGTAAATAAGCCAGAAGGTGAAGCATTTTCTAATGTAAGCATTATAGAAGTTTGCATAGACTGAAACTATTAGCCTGATTGCACAAACTCACTGTATTCTCCTGATATTCGGTGTGAACATGATTTTTGTAGGTGTTCAAATCTTCACGCTTTTGCTTTTGCAAAGTTAAAGCTTCTTTTAAACGCTGTAACTCAGTTTGTCTGAAAATATAAAACATTTTTTTCTCTTTCGACCAATTCAATGTTTTCCATAATGATACCTAATAAAAAACAAAGTAAAAACTAAATGGAAAATTGCTATTACCTCTCTATCAATACGGATTCTAGCTCTTTATTCGCTGAATCGGCTAAAGGAATTCTGGTTCCTTTATTCCATCCTAAAGCCTCTAGAAGATGAGCCATATAGGCAGGCGGTTTTGTTGATTCCGTCATTGTTGCAAATAATGTATTACAAAAAACTATAAAACGTTAGCTTGTGCCACAATATAAAACTAAGAAGTGTCTTGTTAAATCGATTTAACAAAAAATATTTTCATCACTAGGTATCACCAATAACAACAATAACAAAACAAATTCACCGCCATTTTTCAAAATAACAAATGAAATGACATCTGTTCTTATCAGAGACCTGATACTTTGTCCTAAGGTGGGCAAGAACCGTAAATTACCGTGAAATCTTTAAATACGATAAAAAAAGAAAACAAAAGCAAAAATATTTTTTTATTTGCCAAATTTGTGCAAAACAATACCGATCAAGTATTAGTAAGTGTGGTAAATATACCAAGTAAATAAGACTCAATGTCATAAGTAGCTCCTAAAGAAAATGATCTTAGGATATTTAACACAATCTTAACATTTTCATCAAAGAATTATTTTCGATATGAGTTCGTTTCATGAAAGTAAGTTTTTTGAAATGTCTTGCTGTCTTTTGTATAATCTTGAAATCCCGCCAATACACCAAGCACGTAACATTCATGGTAGCATCCAAAAATAACTCATTAGAGCTTTAGTTTCGCACTATCGTGTTCACATGTGGCGTTCTAATACTATCTGGTTATATATACCTTTATAAAGAAGACAGATATAATTCTTATTAAAATGAGTGCTCATGCTGCATCGTTACCTTGCCCAGTGTGTTCACATATTGGTGTATTTGAATCAGTGCAGTCATTAAGAGATAGGCTAATACATGTGTCAACAAATAAACTACTGTGTCCAGTGTGTCAAGAAGAAGTATTTGGTTTAGACAAACTTACGATACATTTGTTTAGTCATGTGAAAATATTAACAACAAAAGGAAAAGAAAATGATAAGTCAATAGTTCCTAATGAAAAACTGAGCTCTGCAAGTCAAGTCATAACGCAGCAGAAAAAACCTAAAACGTCCGCAGTTAAAAATAAAACAACGTCATCTACAACAAATGCTCCTGTTAAATTTGTGAAAATTTATCCAAAGCTACCAGTGGTTTCTGTGAACACAATTCCTGTTGTTGATATTTCAAGACGCACAGAATCTGCTCAAGGTAGTGAATCAATTTTTTTGAAAACTGAAACGGCGCTAGTACAAACAAACACAACTTGCAACATCTGTGGATTACAATTTATTGACGCCAATATTTTGAGAATGCATAGATGCTTGATTCACAATATGGATGAAAATTCGAATCAAAGTTTTACTCGTTACCATTGCCACTTATGCCCGAAAAATTTTAAAATGAGAGGTTCTCTAATGGTACATTTGAGGGTAGCACACTTCGGATTTTTGTCTGGTAATTCAAACTATGATGCCGCCAAAGATAAAAGTTCGGATGCGAATTCAGAACAACTCGATGAAAAATTGACACATTTGGAAAGGAATGACAATAAACAATGGCAATGCGAAGTATGCCGCAAATGTTTTACAACTAAATATTTCCTGAAGAAACATAAACGTCTTCACACAGGTTAAAATAAATAATTGGTGTTAATTGTTGAGGTAATTCGTACTAACAGAATAATTTTAAGATAGACATTTTTACGAAACAGGATGACCAAACAATTTTATCATAAACAAATTGAGCCATATTTGCTTACAAATTTTATCATTCTTCGTTTAATAACTCTTTACATCGGCTAACTCTTAACGCCTCAAATACTACACGTAGCAATAAACAATTTATGCTTTTTAGCTTTTCAACACAAGATCTTTTAGTATAAGAGTAAACTAGCATTTTATTGAAAAATTGTTTTATTTCAGGCGAAACTCCATATGCCTGTGCACAATGTAACAAAACGTTTACATTTCAACAATCGTATCATAAACATCTACTCTATCACAACGATGAGAAGCCTCACACATGTACCTACTGTGGACGTGCTTTTAAAGAATTATCGACACTTCACAATCATCAACGTATTCATACGGGTGAAAAACCGTTCTCTTGCGAAACTTGTGGTAAGCTCATGGATTAATCAGATTATGTTATAGATTTCTGTATCGATAGGGTAAAATTAAAATATATAATAGTTTACTACGACCCTGTTGTCCTACTACTTCGCGGCGTGCCTATCTGCCAATTATCTATATCTCATGATATGAGCCGCAGCATATCTATATTCACAATTAAACATACAACGACATAAAACACTTAAAACGTTAAAAATAAGTAAGTCTTTGAACACTGACTACTTACTGACTCGTTTTTTAAGTCATTGACTGCCGAAGGGTTACTGTTGAAGGCAACAAATCAGGTTCAAAATTCAAATGCGTTTTATTAAGTATATTAATCGATTACTCCATCAATCGAGGACCGATTCCCATTTATTACCTATAATTATATATTTTTCAGGAAAATGTTTCCGCCAAAGGGTTTCATATCTAGTGCACCGGCGTATCCACACTGGGGTAATGCCTTACAAATGCACAGCTTGTCAGAAAAGCTTTCGATACAAAGTAAGTTTTAAGCTTTTTAATTTAAATTGCATTGCCCCAATGCAATTATGCAGCTATATAGTATATACATGGCCCAGCCGCCCAGCCGCCATATTAGGTGATTCGAGCGACGATCTCTGGCGCCACCGTAAGTGCGGGCCTGCAGCCTGTAAGTAAGCTAGCTAGACAAGAACCTTAACCTAGTGTGGGGCACGTGGCGTTCCGCGCCCTCCTCAAAGAACCCATAGACCACCACTGATGGAGCCCATCTTAGCCGCTAATGGTTAGCCGGGGTCGAGGGTCAAGCGCAATAAGATACCGCGGCTTGGGCCTGGACCAGGAGACGGAATAGGGAGTTTTTAGTCAGTCAGAGTCTGATACTCCCCAAATCATCCAATGACTTCTCCCGCCCAGGGTATGGCGAAAGAAGTCATTTGATGATTTTCCTCCACAGAAAAAGGTAGTTCTCCTCTAGTTATTAACATTACTGTTTTCCAGGTATCACAGAGAACTCACAAGTGCCAAGCACAACCACCTGGAACAGTAGTAAGGCAAGCAGGGGAACTGGTTGAAAAACTCAAATTAAAGCATATTGAATCGGATTGTAAAATAAACGACAAGCAAGTAACTGCGATTGAAAATTTAACTTATACTGATGTTTCTGAAGCTAATGCTGAATTAGTCCGCACAGGAGCTAAATTATCACTAGAGGATATGGAGTCCGAGCATTTTTCGTTAATAGCCGAAAATTTTAATGAAATAGGAGACAGTGGCACATCGTTAGTGTCGGGCACAGGACAAGATGCTACATTATCAGGTAAAAGTGATGATGTTATTTTTAATCAAAATATTGAGGAATTAATAGATGCTATACCAATGCAGGACAAAAGTATTCCATCGCCTTCAGAAATTATGAAAAATTTATGTTTATCAAAGGACGACGACTACATTGAAATTCTTCAAACTTCAAATGAAGGAAAACCTTACGAAATCTGTAAAGACTTTAATGTATTTCTCTGACCTAATAACTAATATAAAAATATTAAATATATGTTCAAAGTTATTTTTGTTTTATTTTATCTTGTTCATTCCTTATTTATAATTCAGAATTGATATTCCCCTGAGTGACAACAAAAACTTTAGAGTTCTCCAACACTTATAAAAAAGGATTGGATGTAAATATAATAGAAAAGTGCAATAACATTACAAGTAGTCGAGTTGTTGTCGTAAAAAAGGGGGAAAGGACCAACCTTTTTTCACCTCTTTCCTACGTAGATAACTGTAGGTTTCTAGACAAATAACATTCTGGGTATTGCCCTACAAAAATTGTTTCGTATATGTATTGGTACCGACTTGAAATGTTAAAATAAGCTTCACGCATTAGGTTTTATCACTCAGGGTTGTTAACTTTTCAAATTTATCGATTAAAATTTGTTTCTGTGGTAAGTGATGTGATAAAAGTAGTTGAAGTGATTTTTTTACTATTTTTAATTTTTTACATTCATATTTAAAATTGTATCAGTATTTTTTTTAAATAAGCTGAGTAGTTTTATAAAAATGATTTCATTGTTTAATGTAAAACAATTACAAATTATCATCACAAGTAAAAGAAAAAAATACCGTAAAATATCGGTAAGTTTCGGTTTTCGAGTACTAAATCATCCATGCACTATGCTTTTGCTTGCTTTGCTTTATGTGGCAGAAAAAAACATAAATGAGCAACCAGCTGTTTTTGTTCTCCAAGTGCTTGGAAATTGGTGAAAATCAGTATGAATCAAAATTAAATAGTGTCATTTCATCTTTCAAGTCAGTGACATTTTGTGGACTGAATGTGAAATTATTAACATTCTTAAAATTCATGTAGAGTAGGAAAATTAATCGATTTGAAGTTTAGTCAAACATCACTCTCGATAAATGGACTGCGTTAGTGATTTTATTCTGCGTCTTACTTGAGGTACATTATAATGTGTTGATTTAGGCCATCAAGCTAAGTTTTTGTGTCTTATTCTGCTGCTGCAACGATCCTGCGTATAAATGTAAGTTATTTAACATTTGTGTTGTGACTTTAAATCTTATCGATTTAAATTTGATTAAAAAAATATGTATGTGGTATTATTTACGCTGTAAAGAAAAACAAAATCTAGGAAGGTCATCATACACTTTTGTCGTGAATGTCTTTTAGCTTATATTTGTAGACTAAGAGAAATGTCGTGACTTTCAAAATATGATATTTTGTGATTTGCAGTGAGTAATAATGCACTGCATCTGTCTTGCAACATGGAGATTTATGTACCTACTTAATGTGAGAACAAAATGGATATGCTTGTAGACAAAAGATTTTGCTCTTTAATCAGTTCAATGTAAATCATAATTCAGCAATTTGGTTACAAGGACAAAGGAAAACTAAATTTATAAGAGTTAGGATTGCATGAATTCATTGTTTATGTTCTAAACAAAATAACCATGCAGCTGTGCAGTAGTAAAATGAGTACACATACATCTGAAACATTATTTTTAGTAATAAAACCCAGGTTTATTTATTAATTAAAGAGTAATGACTTTAATATTTGTCTTCTAAAAATAATTATAATTTACCCTGAATTAAAAAATGATTTACATTGATACATACATCAAGTATTAGGTATTATGTATGTATATGCAGGTATTTTTATGGAATGGAGAGTGTGGACTGTAAAAATTGATGTGGTTAAGGTCAGTTCTATTCTAAAAATAATTGATAAATTGCAAATTACATTTAAAGACAAAGAAAATTATTTATGATAGATACAATTAAATTATTTCTATTGTGGTTTCACCTACCCCCATGGGACTAAGTGTGTTTGATATTTGTAATACATATACAAATAACAATGAATTTATTGTTTATAGTAGGGGAGCTCACAAAAACATTTCAGTAGGAAATCCAGCATTACCTTGCATTGTATTAAATATGCTTCCATATATTTGATGTGAATAGAGGGGGCACAAAATATTTAAAAAATCTAAATACATGCAGTTTTATGAGATACAGAAGGTGTGTTAAATATGCCAATTTTATTGTGATTCTAGACCAACAGGGCAGGGTTTTGAAGGGTTTCCATTTGTATGTCCTTACTCAGTCGATTTTACTTCGAGCAACCAATATTTTTTTATCTTAATCAAATTATGTGAACTTACCCATAGTGTTTAACTTACTAACTGTTTATTGAATTTTATTACTTATTATATAATATTATTTGTTTGGAAGAATGTATACTACCAAAAGAACAAGGTGCTTGTAGTATCATATCTACTTATACTGCATTTTATATATAGGTAATTGAGTAATTATGTAACACATTTATGTGTTCATTGTATTACCAATACACACTTTACATTACATTGTTATTAACTCCTTTGTTACATTGGTACAACATGATATGACTAGGCTTTAAAAAAAAATGTAATACTGCTATGCTATAGAGAGATACATAATTGTGTTTCTTTCTTCACATTCAACCATGTACTGAAATTGTCTTGCAAATATTACCATTCCCCCTTTTCTGGGCACACTTTCTTTGTGCTACATCTTGCTGTGCAACCTTAAGTATTGGTGGACCAGTTGGACTGCACATGTCCATGTTCTCGTATGTTGCTACTGATAGGATGAATTTGTTGAATATTTTTGTATTCAAGCCTTGTAGTATTATAAAAACACCCTGTTAGTGTTATATTATATGCTGGCCAGCCAAACTGTTTCTTTCTATGGAATCATTCCTCCTTTTCAATGCCCTGATGGTTGATTGGTAGTTCTAGCCTAGCATTTAAGTTTCTTAGTCCAGCAATCACGCTTACAGCCACTTGACTAACAATGCAGTCAGCATACCAGAAAGATGGATATCCTATGCTTTTCTTCAGAGTTAATTACATATATGTTCATATAAAAATAATTATGGACATTCCCTATTGCCTCACTCTGGACAAGAGAAGTGATTTGATGATTTTCGCCTCAGAAAAAATGGCATGGCATTAAGTTAATGTTTCACATTTAGGTTGGCCATGTTTGCCTTGCTTGGTCCTGCTTTGAAGTTAATGTAACCATAAAAATTTTTACCTTTTCCAGAAATATTGTAAGTTCGAATTTGTATTAAAGTTGAAAAAAAAAAAATTTTGTCCAATCCAGTTTTTAATTACCGACCCAAAGCGAACCTCCCTTCGGATCGGTAACTAAAATTGGGCGTTTAATCGACTTTACAGGAAGTTGCAAACTACTAGTTAGTGCAGCAAAGTCAACGCGACACTATATTATCATACATCAAATCTAGATCGTCGCATACATCAAATCTATAGTAGAAACAAAAACCGAAAATCAAACCCGTAACATGTTGCGAGGAAGCAAATAGAAATTATAGAGGATCACTAGGTACATATAGGTGGGGTTAGGGAACCTTTTACCCACTGTGTAGACGGACGTGTACTCGGCCGGTTTTAATAAAAATAAAGCCAGAGTGACCGGAGTTGCGGCGATACATTTCCAGACCGGTATCGCCGTTCGATACAGGCAACAAGTCTGCACTCTGGTTAAAATGGATGTCGGCAGGCGGGCAGACCGAGTTCGTAAGTTTACGTTCAAAAAAACACAGGCGACAAAAAAAGGAGCACAGTAAACAGTCATACGATAGGTTTGGTTGGGGTATGGAAAGTTTTATTATGACTACGAGTATACATCAAGATTACTTATTTTGCTTTTGACAGAAATTTAACATCACAGAAAAGGCTATATAGTATGTATTGTGAAAGAAAATTAACCAGATTGCATTATTTAGAAGACCCGTATTTTTTATTTTGACACCGCATTTTTCGTGTTTTTTTTTTGAAGACGAGAATTAATTTCAGTAACTTCTAGTGTCCCAGGTACACGTAAACTTACTTAGATCCTACATGCAATTATAGGAAAGAAGTAATAATATCATTGTTGATGAATGACATAAGGCAGAAAAAAAGGTTCAGTCATCGGAAACAATACATTCTTGTCTTCCAATTACTGGTGAAGATAGACTAGAAATAGGCACAGAGGTAGTCTAATCTCTATACTATTCTACAGAAAGATAAAGCATGAAATCGGAACCATATAATTTACTTATTATCTTTTCATTTATTCTCAGTAAGCAGGCAGTTATAAGATACCAGTGTTTAGGACAAAGGAATCCCCTGTGTTTGATATCTGAAAGCAGAAAAATAATACTTGATACACATTCTATTGATATCTGTCCTAAACGTGTATTATGAAGTTTGGTTGCCAGGAACCTGTAATGATAGTGTCAGTCGTGAACTGGCAATGATCGTATCATTTACTGGACACATTGTGCCTAGTGACTTCCCATTTAACGTTACGATTGCCGACGTATCTCGACACATAAACCGAAGCGATAACTTATCGTCAGCGGTGCAGCCATTTTGTTTACCTCTCTGTGGAGTGTGGACCAAATTTACAAAGGTATATAAATAGCTCGCGTCACGTTGTAGCCTACCTACTATGTCAACGTAAACATGGTTTCCATAAATGTAAATATTATGATGTATTTTAAATTGGGAATCCATTACTGATATTCATTGTGAATGTGTATTTACATAGGTATTCATTGTTTTAGTCACCTTTTTGGACTATAATATCCTCGAAATAAAAATATGTAATTTATGGTCAAAAACTTAGGATTAAAAGGAACCAATTTTCACCTCTATTGTAAACAATCCTTTGTATTAAGAGGTCAAGTAAGAAGTGTCGCACTGGCAGAACTGCATGATATTTAATTGTTTATGAGTTTATTTCATTTAATAATAATAGCACATTATTCGTCTTTCTGAAGTTAGAGGGGTCTGGTGTATTGGCAGGGGTATAAGGTGGCAGGGCAGCCGCGGTGGCAGGGCAGGCCGCGTCTGTATCGATCCGGCGGCGGCGGCGGGGCGGCCCGGACGCGGCTCGCCCGACACCTCTCATTACCTACAATGCAGCACTGCCACTTACATGCATTATTCAATTCGTTCAATTCAATGTAACTATACCAATTTTTCTTGTGATAGATGTCTAACCCACTGACATTGATACATATAAAATATATAGGTGAGATAGGGCCCTTATCGTTCATGCACATACTCAGTATATCAGAGGGCATTATTTATTTTGATGATTACAATTATCTTCAAAAGATTAGATTTTATACTTAGCAAGCCCAAATAAACAAAATGTGAAAATAAATATTAATTGAGGACGATAATGGTGCAAAAGTCGGCCGAATGTCGCATAACAAACATTAAAAATGCAGTAAAAGTTGTAATATTCTAAATATAACTGTATTAATAGCGTTGCATCATAAGTTAAACGATTAAAGAACACAGAGTAATTAATAAATAATATGGTAAATGATCGATAACTAATGTAATGGGAACAAGGTTGTAGCTCGTAGTACTTGTTTGATTTGGTGGTTAATACATAATGGGATATTGATGACTGCGGTATACCTACATAAAACTGCCTCAGTGACCAGAGGACAAGCAACATTAGTGTCCATACCAACCGCAAGCAAGTAGGTACTATCACCGTGTCATATCATGAGCACAGTGCACTACTGTTGCAATATTTGAAACTATTTCTGTACGTGAGTTTGCATTGTTAATCGTGCTGCCACACATTTCTTCATTGCTTTATACAAACATTGGATACTGTCCCTCAGTAACTTATTTAAGATCAAAAACTAGAAGCCTAGACTTTTGAAGAATGTCTAAGTAGTTATCCAATAGGTTGAGCTCAAATTGGTCAGTATTGCATCTGCATCTACGTTGCCAATATTAACAAGGCCGATTTACTCAAACTTTGTTAATATTTATGATTTATTTATTTATACTTCCATTTTGACATCCAGCCATCTTCACTATACTTTTTGTATAGACATTTCTAAGTTATACCTCTGGGTTACGTTGTTATTGCGATATGCAAACAAACGAACATAATTATTGAAATAAAACACAGACAACATTTATTTACACATGGTTCATTGGT